CATGACTGTAACAGATTCCTCCCTCCTTAGACATGGAGAGACCCAGATTCTCATACCTGTACTAGATTCCTACCTCTTCAAATATTGAAAGACTCAGATCCTCATACCAGTGCCAGATCCTACCTTCTCAGACATTAAAAGACCCAGATCCTTATACTTGCTCCAGATCCTACCTCCTCAGACATGGACAGACCCAGATCCTCACACTTGTACCAGATCCTACCTGTTCAGACATAGAGAGACCCAGATCCTCACACCTGTACCAGATCCTACCTCCTCAGACACTGACAGACCCAGATCCTCATACCTGTACCCGCATCCAGATCCTATCTCCTCAGATACTGACAGACCCAAATCCTCATAAGCCTCATAACAGGGCCAGATCCTACCTCCTCAGATATTGATAAATCCAGATCCTCACACTTGTACCAGATCCTACCTCCAGACATGGAGAGACCCAGATCTTCATACATGTACCAGATTTGTACCTCCTCCGATATTGAAAGACCCAGATCCTCATACCAAGGCCAGATCCTACCTCCTCAGATACTGACAGTTCCAGATTCTTATACCCGCACCCAGATCCTACCTCCTCAGATATTGACAGTCTCAGATCCTCATCTTCCTATCAGGGCCAGATCCTACCTTCTCAGACATTGAAAGACCCAGATCCTCATATTTATGCCAGATCCTACCTCCTCAGACATGGACAGACCCAGATCCTACCTCTGCAGACATGAAGAGACTCAGTTACGCATACCAGGGCCAGGTCCTACCTCCTCAGACATTGACAGACCCAGATCCTCATGCCTGTAACAGATTCCTACCTCCTCAGAAATGAAGAGACCCAGATCCGCATACCAGGGCCAGGTCCTACCTCCTCAAATTTGACAGACCCAGATCATCATACCTGTACCAGATTCCTACCTCGTCAGATACTGAAAGACCTAGATCCTCAAATGAGGGCCAGATCCTACCTTTTCAGACATTAAAAGACCTAGATCCTTATATCTGTGCCAGATCCTACCTCCTCAGACAGGGACAGACCCAGATCCTAATACATGCACCAAATCCTACCTCCTCAGACACGAACACACCCAGATCCTCCTATCTGTACCAGATTCCTACCTCAGACACTGACAGATCCAGATCCTTATACCCGCACCCAGATCCTACCTCTGCAGATACTGACCGTACCAGATTCTTATACATGCACCCAGATCCTACCTCCTCAGATACTGACAGACCCAGATCCTCATAATCCTAATGGGCCAGATCCTACCTTCTCAGACATGGACAGACCCAGATGCCCATACCAGCGTCAGATCCTACCTCCTCAGACACTGACAGACCCAGATCCTCAAAACTGTACCAGATTCCACCCCCTCAGAGATGGAGAGACCCACATCCTCATACCAGGGCCAGATTCCTACCTCCTCAGATACTGACAGACCCAGATCCTCATACCAGGGTCAGATCCTACCTTCTCAGACATGGACAGACCCAGATACTCATACCTGCACCAGATCCTACCTCCTGAGACATGGAAAGACCCAGATCTCACACCTGTACCAGACCCTACCTCCTCAGGCATGGACAGACTCAGATCCTCATACCTGGGCCAGATCCTACCTCCTCAGACACTGATAGATCCAGATCCTCATACCTGTACCAGATTCAACCTCCTCAGAGATGGAGAGACCCACATCCTCATATGAGGGCCGGATTCCTACCTCCTCAGATATTGACAGACCCAGATCCTCATACCAGGGCCAGATCTTACCTTCTCAGACATTGAAAGATCCAGATCCTTATACCTGCTCCAGATCCTACCTCCACAGACATGGACAGATCCAGATCCTCATACTCATGCCAGATCCTACCTCCTCAGACACGGTCAGACCCAGATCCTACCTCCTCAGACACGGGCAGACCCAGATCCTACCTCCTCAGACATGGATAGACCCAGATCCTCACACTTGTACCAGATCCTACCTCCTTAGACACTGACAGACCCAGATCCTCATACCAGCGCCAGATCCTACCTCCTCAGAGACTGACAGATCCAGATCCTAATACCGGCACCCAGATCCTACCTCCTCAGATACTGACAGCCCCAGATCCTCATACTTGTACCAGATTCAACCCCTCAGAGATGGAGAGACCCATCCTCATACCAGGGCCAGATTCCTACCTCCTCAGATATTGACAGACCAAGATCCTCATACCAGGGCTAGAACCTACCTTCTCAGACACAGACAGGCCCAGATCCTCATACCTGCTCCAGATCCGACCTCCGCAGACAAGGTCAGACCCAGATGCTACCTCCTCAGACATGGGGAGACATAAATCCTCATACCAGGGCCAGATCTTACCTTTTCACACATTGACAGACCCAGATCTTCATGCCTATAACAGATTCCTACCTTCTCAGAGATGGAGAGACCCAGATCCTCATACTTGTACTAGATTCCTACCTGCGCCAGATCCTACCTCCTCAGACATGGACAGACCCAGATCCTCACACTTGTATCAGATCCTACCTGCTCAGACACAGAGAGACCCAGATCTTCATACCTGTACCAGATCCTACCTCCTCAGACATGGACAGACCCAGATCATCACACTTGTACCAGATCCTACCTGCTCAGACATAGAGAGACCCAGATCCTCACACCTGTACCAGATCCTACCTCCTCAGATAGTGACAAATCCAGATCCTTATACGGGAACCCAGATCCTACCTCCTCAGACACTGACAGTCCCAGATCCTCATAATCCTCCTATCAGGGCCAGATCCTACTGTCTCAGACATGAGCAACCCAGAGCCTTATAAGGGGGCCAGATCCTACCTTCTCAGACACTGACAAACCAGATCCTCTTACCTGTATCTACACCCAGATCCTATCTCCTCAGATACTGACAGACCCAAATCCTCATAAGCCTCATACCAGGGCCAGATCCTACCTCCTCAGACACTGACAGACCCAGATCCTCATACCTGTACCAAATTCCCCCCTCCTCAGATATAGACAGACCCAGATCTTCACGCCTGTACCAGATCCTACCTCCTTGGACACAGATAGACCCAGATCCTCATACCTGTACCAGATCCTACTTTCTCAGACATGGAGAGACCCAGATCCTTATATCTGCGCCGGATCCTACCTCTGCAGACATGGATACACCCAGATCCTCGTACTCATGCCAGATCCTACCTCCTCAGACACGGGCAGATCCAGATCCTACCTCCTCAGACATGGGGTGACACAGATCCTCATCCCAGGGCCAGATCTTACCTCTTTACACATTGACAGACCCAGATCTTCATGCCTGTGACAGATTCCTACCTCTTCAGACATGGAGAACCCAGATCCTCATACCTGTACTAGATTCCTACCTCCTCAGATATTGAAAGACTCAGATCCTCATACCAGGGCCAGATCCTACCTTCTCAGACATTGAAAGATCCAGATCCTTATATCTGTGCCAGATCCTACCTCCTCAGACATGGACAGACCCAAATCCTCATACTCATGCCAGATTCTACCTGCTCAGACATAGAGAGACCCAGATCCTCACACCTGTACCAGATCCTACCTCCTCAGACACTGATAGACCCAGATCTTCACACCTGTATCACATCCTACCTCTTCAGACATTGACAGACCCAGATCCTCATACCAGCACCAGATCCTACCTCTCCAGATACTGACAGATCCAGATCCTTATACGGGCACCCAGATCCTACCTCCTCAGATACTGACAGACCCAGACCCTCATAATCCTATCAGGGCCAGATCCTACCTTCTCAGACATGGGCAACCCAGAGCCTCATACCAGGGCTAGATCCTACCTCCTCAGACACTGATAGACCCAGATCCTACCTCCTCAGATACTGACAGACCTAAATCCTCATAAGCCTCATACCAGGGCCAGATTCTACCTTCTCAGACATGGACAGACCCAGATCCTCATACCAGGGCCAGATCCTACCTCCTCAGATATTGACAAACCCAGATCCTCATACCTGTACCAGATCCTAGTTCCTCAGACATGGAGAGACCCAGATCCTTATACCTGTGCCAGATCCCACCTCTGCAGACATGGAGAGACCCAGATCCTCATACTGATGCAAGATCCTACCTCCTCAAACATGGACAGACCCAGATCCTACCTCCTCAGACATGGACAGACCCAGATCCTACCTCCTCAGACTCCAGACATGGGCTGCTTGACCTTCCTCAGACAGACTGACCAAGATCCTCATACTTCTATGATTCCTACCTCCTCAGACATTGACAGACCCAGATCCTCACACCAAGGCCAGAACCTACCTTCTCAGACACTGAAAGACCCAGATTCTTATACCTCGCCAGGTCTAACTCTTGAACCACGGACGAATGACCAGGTCCTCATGCTCATGCCAATCCTACCTCCTCAGACATGGACAGACCCAGATCCTACCTCCTCAGACATGGAGAGATCCAGATCCTGCCTCCTGAGACATGGAAAGACCAGATCTCCTATGCGCATGCGATTCCTACCTCCTCAGACACTGACAGACTGAATCCACTCATGCCAGTTGGGTCCTCCTCGGAGCACATTGACAGATGCAGATCCTCATACCTGTAACAATTCCTACTCTTCAGATATTGACAGACCCAGATCCTCATACTAGGGCCAGATCCTACCTCACACTGGAAGACACAGATCATCATATCAGGGCCAGATCACAACTCCTCAGATATTAGCGCATGACCCAGATCCTTATACACACCAGATCCTACCCTCCTCAGGCAGTGACAGATCCAGATCCTTTTACTTGTGCCAGATCCTCCTTAGACATGACAAATCCAGATCCTTATATGGCCATCAGATCCTACCTCCTCGGACATGGACAAATCTTCCAATACTGTACCAGATGCCTCCTCATACCTAACAAACACAGATCCTTATAGTACCCAGATCCACCACTCTCAGATGTTGACAGACCCATCCTCAGACATGGACAGACCCAGATCCTACCTCCTCAGACATGGAGAGATCCAGATCCTGCCTCCTGAGACATGGAAAGACCCAGATCCTCATACTTGTACGATTCCTACCTCCTCAGACACTGACAGACCCAGATCCTCATACCAGGGTCAGGTCCTACCTCCTCAGACATTGACAGATGCAGATCCTCATACCTGTAACAGATTCCTACCTCTTCAGATATTGACAGACCCAGATCCTCATACTAGGGCCAGATCCTACCTCCTAGGACACACTGGAAGACACAGATCATCATATCAGGGCCAGATCACAACTCCTCAGATATTAACCGACCCAGATCCTTATACCTGCACCAGATCCTACCCTCCTCAGGCATTGACAGATCCAGATCCTTTTACTTGTGCCAGATCCTACCTCCTTAGACACTGACAAATCCAGATCCTTATATGTGCATCAGATCCTACCTCCTCGGACATGGACAAATCTTCAATACTGTACCAGATCTTACCTCCTCATACCCTAACAAACACAGATCCTTATAATTGCACCAGATCCTACCTCCTCAGATATTGACAGACCCAGATCCTCATACTTGTGCCAGTTCCCACCTCCTCAGAAACTGACAGACCCAGATATTCTTACCAGGGCAAAAGCCTACCTCCTCAGAAACTGACAGACCCAGATCCTCTTACCAGTGCCAGATCCTTCCTCCCTCGACATGAACAGACCCGGATCCTCACACCTGTACCAGATGCTACCTTCTCAGACAATGAAAGACCCAGATCCTTATACCTGTACCAGATCCTACCTCCTCAGACATGAACAGAACCAAATCCTCATACGCATGCCAAATCTTACCTCCAGACATAGCAGACCCAGATCCTCACACCTGTACTAGATCCTACCTCCTCAGACATTGACCCAGATCCTCATGCTTATGCCAGATCCTACCTCCTTAGTCACTGACAGAACCAGATTCTCACACTTAATACCAGATCTCACCTCCTCAGACACTAGAAGATCCAGATTCTCATACCTGTGCCAAATGCCACCTCCTCAGACACCTGAAGACCCAGATCCTCACACCTGTACCAGATCCTACCTCCTCAAATACTAACAGACCCAGATCCTCATACATGTACCAAATTCCCACCTCCTCGGAAACTGACAGACCCAGATCCTCATACCAGGGCCAGATCCTACCTGCTCAGACATAGACAGACCCGGATTCTCATACCCAGGCCAGATCCTACCTCCTCAGACATTGAAAGACCCAGATCCTCACACCTGTACAAGATCCTACCTCCTCAGTCACCTGTACAAGATCCTACCTCCTCAGTCACCCAGGTCCTCGTTCCTGTATCAGATGGTAACTCCTCAGACTTTGACAGATGCAGATCCTCATACCTGTACCAGATTCCTACCTCCTCCAACACTGACAGACCCAGATCCTCATTCCTGTACCAGATGGCAACTCCTCAGACATGGACAGTCCTAGATCCTCATACCAGGGCCAGATCTTACCTCCTCAGACATGGACGGACCCAGATCCTCATACCAGGACCCGATCCCACCTCCTCAGATACTGATGGACCCAGATCTTCATACCTGTACCCAGCCTCACCTCCCCAGACACTAGAAAACTCAGGGCTTCATACCTGTGCCAGATGCTATCTCCTCAGGCAATGGAAGCCCAACGGCCTGACACCTGAGTCCAACCTCACCTCCTCAAACACTGGAAGACCCAGATCATCATACCTGTGACAGGTGCTACCTCCTCAACGGGCAGGAGCCCATATCCCTCCCTTTGTACCTACAGGTGCTACCTCCTCAGACATGGGAGAAGACCAGATCCTCATACCTGTGCCAGGTGCTACCTCCTCCGGCTTACTGGAAGACCCAGATCATCATACCTGTCTGGTGCTACCTCCTCAAACACTGGAAGACCCAGATCATCATACCTGTGCCAGGTGCTACCTCCTCAGACATGGGAAGACCCAGATCCTCATACCTGTGCCAGGTGCTGCTCCTCCAAACACTGGAAGACCCAGATCATCATGCCTGTGTTGGGTACTCCTCCAAACACTGGAAGACCAGATCATCATACCTGTAGCAGGTGCTACCTCCTCAGACCCAGATCATCATACCTGTGACAGGTGCTACCTCCTCAGACATGGAAGACCCATATCCTCACACCTGTGCCAGGTGCTACCTCCTCAAACATTGGAAGACCAGATCCTCATACCTGTACCAGATGTTACCTCCTCAGACACAGGAAGACCCAAATCTCATACCTGTACCAGATGTTACCTCCTCAGACATCAGCAGACCCAGGGCCTCATACCTGTAACCTGCTGTTACCTCCCTCCGACATCAACAGACCCAGGGCCTCATACCTGTGTGCCTGCTGTTACCTCCCTCCCGAGCGCTCCAGCAGACCCAGGGCCTCATACCTGTAACCTGCTGTTACCTCCTCTCCGACATCCAGCAGGCCAGGGTCTCATGCCTGTAACCTGCTGTTACCTCCTCCGACATCCAGCAGACCCAGGGCCTCGCCTGTAACCTGCTATTTACCTCCTCAGACACATCAGATCAAGGACCTCATACTTGTACCAGATCCTACCTCCTCACACACTGGGAGACCAGATGTCACCACCTGTATGGCCATCATCAGCAGACCCAGGGCCTCATACCTGTAACCTGCTGTTACCTCCTCAGACACCGTCAGATCCAGGGCCTCATACTTGTACCAGATCCTACCTCCTCACACACTGGGAGACCCAGATGTCATACCTGTACTTAGCCCATCTCCTTGGATACCTCTTCCAGCACCACATACCTGTACCAGGCCCTACTTCTGTAGACACTTGCAGACCCACAGCCCCATACCAGTGCCAGGACTCACCTTCTCAGCCTCATACTTGTGCCCAGGTATGCTTCCTTGGACAATGAAAGACCCAGCAGCTGTCTGCTGCTCTTGGCTGGGTCTCCTCAGATATTAAAAACCCACAACTACATTTCTGTTCCCCAGCCCACCTGCTTGAATAGTGGCCCAGTGCCTCATACTTGTGCCAGGCCCCACATCCTCAGATACTGACAGACCCAGATCCTCATACCTGTGCCAGAAATTCTCTGTTGAACAATGAAGACTCATCACTTTGTACCTGTGCCCATTCCCAACTCCTCAGGCGGTACTGACAGATCCAGAACCTCAGACCTGTGCCTCACCCTACCTCCTGGACACTGACAGGCCCAATGGGTCATACCTGGGCTCGACCGATCTTCTCGGCCCATCACCTAGGCCTATCATTCACACTGCACCTTCTCAAGCCACACCCACAGGCTCCACTTGGTGCCATCAGAATCCTCAGAACTTCACGGACGTCTCCCTGACAGCTGTTTATGGAGCACCTTCCACATTTCTAGCACAGGCAATGGACGCAGAGTGTGGGAGACATACATCAAATAATCATGCCAATAAATGTGAAACTGAGAAACAAGTGCTCAGGAGAAATGGAATATGGTGCTGAGGCCACTTATAAAAGGAACCTGAGGGGTACTTGAGCCTCGATCTCAAGAACGAGCAGGCATGACCCAGAGAAGCACTGAGGGAGCATTCCAGCAGCCGTAACAGCACATGCAAAGGTCCTGTGGCCAAAGCAGCTTTTCTCAAGGGTGACAGAATTAAGGCCCACAGAAAATGATTTGCGTGCTTCTCAGTTCTCCCAAGGATGGTCCAAGACTAGTAACCTTCTAGACATGAAGGAGAGGTACCCACTTATTACATCCAGTAGATGCCTCAGGCTGTGAGGGCTTAATTCTCTCCTAGAAGCCCACTGAGGCAGGAGAAAGCATAGCACCGTCCAGAGAGGTGGAAGGAAGTGAGGACCGCAGGGTGGAAGCTGAGAGGCACAGCGGGAGGACTGTGAACAGTCTGTGGCTAAGGTAAGGGCAGAAGCAGACAAGCCACTTCGAAGCCCCGGAGATGGACTAGGGAGTGCAGAGGACCAATTCTGGGAGCTCTCCAATGTGGCCGAGAGGTTTCTGGGTTTTTTTTAGAGACAGGGTCTTGCTTTGTTGCCCAGGTGGAGTGCAGTGGCATGATCACAGCTCACTGCAGCCTCAAACTCCTGGGTTCAAGTGATCCTCCCATCTCAGCCTCCCCAGTAGCTGGGACTACAGGCACGTATCACCATGCTTGGCTATTTTTTAAATTTTGTGTAGAGATGGGGTCTTGCTCTGTTGTCCAGGCAGGTTTTGAACACCTGGCCTCAGCCTCCCATCTCAGCCTCCCCACCATCTCAGCCCTCTGAAGCTCAGGGATTACAGCCATGAGCCACCACACCCAGCCCAGACTCAGCTCTAGAAACTAAACTTCAGTACAGCCAGCCCTCTGGCTGACCGAGTCCAGGCTGCTCACCGTGGCCGAGAACAGGTCCTGAGATCCCAGTTTTGCAAGAGCCCAAGCAATGCCAAACAGTGTCTGACCTGAGCCTCCGAACCCTCAATCTGCAGATACGGGTCTCTAGACCTCACTTTTAAGTGCAGTGGCCTCTGAGACCACACATTATAGATGCAGCTCCTCAGTCAGTTCAACGTTCTGGGCCTCACCTGCCCCAGTGCCCTAGATCTCACCTTATCTAACTATCATCTACCTTTTCCCTTACTTTACTCACTTTTTTTTTTTTTTTTTTTTGAGACTGGGTCTCTCACTCTGTCGCCCAGGCCTGAATGCGGTGGCATGATCTCAGCTCACTGCAACCTCTGCCTGCCAGGTTCAAGCAATTTTCCTGCCTCAGCCTCCTGAGTAACTGGGATGACAGACATGTGATACTATGCATAGCTAATTTTTGTATTTTTAGGAGATGGGGTTTCACCATGTTGGCCAGACTGGTCTCGAACTCCTGACCTCAAGGGATCCACCCACCTCGGCCTCCCAAAGTGCTGGGATGACAGGCGTGAGCCATCGCGCCTGGCAACTTTCCTCACTTTTAACTCAGACCCTATGTCAACTGGAGCACAATGCCACCTTGGATGCAGGCCAACACCATGGACTGGTTACAGATCCTCAGGCCTCTGTAGTACCCTGAGCTCTGTCTATCATATCTGACCAGGGTGCTGAGAACAGACAGCTGACCCACCTGATCCTTAGGGTTCCCCAGACATCACCAGGCAGACCCAGGTACAAACACCTACAATGACTATGGCTTTCCCTTGATATAAGAGCCCACACTACTCACCTAATTGTACCTGACCCTACCACCGAAGGTCCTACCTTTGTCTGACCCACCTTCCCCAGGCCTGGCTAGCCTCACCAATTATGCATTCCTGGGCTAGACCCCACCCACTTCACCTAACAAGCCCAGCAGTACTTTTTGTGCTTGAACCCAGATGTCAAGAACCCACCTAAGACCATGTTTATACAACCTCTGTGAAACTGAGCCTGGATCCACAGACTCACTGCCAATGTCAGGTCAACACACCAGCACTGAGCCTGGATCCATGGACTCACTGTCAATGTCAGCTAAACATACCAGCACTGAGCCTGGATCCACAGACTCACTGACAATACTAGGTCAACATGCCAGCACTGAGCCTGAATCCACAGACTCACTGACAATGCCAGGTCAGCATAGCAGCACTGAGCCTGGATCCATGGACTCACTGCCAATGTCAGGTAAACACACCAGCACTTAGCCTGGATCCACAGACTCACTGACAACACCAGGTCAACATGCCAGCACTGACCCTGGACCCACAGACTCACTGATAATGCCAGGTCAACATACCAGCAGTGAGCCTGGATCCACAGACTCACTGACAACCACCAGGTAAACATATCAGCACTGAGCCTGGATCCACGGACTCACTGACATAATCAGGTATACATACCAGCACTGAGCCTGGAGTCACAGCCTCACTGACATAATCAGGTAAACATAACAGCACTGAGCCTGGAGCCATAGACTCACTGACACCACCAGATAAATATACTAGCACTGAGCATCGATGCAATGGCTTCACCTGGAAGACCTTGTTCTGCCTGTTTGTGTCCAACTCCAGTGCCTCAGGCTACAGAGTTACACACCTGTCGAAGATGGGTTCCAGACATCTCAGCTGATAGACCAGGCTTCACATAACCTGACCCCTCATACCCTGACTGACAAACCCAGGTTCCTTTGCCTGAGCCCAACTCAGATTCCTTACAGCCTACCAGGGTCCAGCTTTATTTACGTGAGCCTGGCCTTGGCAGTCCACATCCCGTGTCTGGCTTGGCTTTTCATGTCTCACAGACAGAGCCAATGCTGCCAATCTCTGCTTAACGTCAGCACCAATGAGCTCACTGAGGAGCCTCAGACCTCATCAAATGGAACATCTCTGCCTACCTGTGCTCCCCAGCTGAGATGTGTAGTTCTACCAACTTGTGACTAACCCATTGTCCCCAGGCCTAAGACTGAGTCAGCACAACAGAGCCAGAACCACGCACCAATGACTCCACCTGCAAGACCCCAGGTGTATGTCCCTCTAGCTACAAAGTCCTTGCTTGAGAGAGATACATCTACCTACTCACGTCTAACTTAGGGGCCACAGACCTCGCAGGAAACCCAGAATGTTCTGCTTGCCTGTGGAGACCCCCATGCTATGGGCTTCACCTGAGAGTCCACTCTGTACACCTAGGATCAACTCTGGTTCTTCAGGCTTCACCTCAAACACCCAGGGGCACATTCTTGTGCCTGAATCCAACTCCTGAAAGAGTCAACTCTATCTACCTGCATTCAATCCTAACTCCTCAGCTCTCCTTCAAGAGACAACTGGCAGACCAGTTTTGTCTACCTGCCTGACCCTGGCTCCTCAGACCACACATGGTGGGCCAGCTCTGCCTACCTGTGCTTGACCCTGGCTCCTCAGACCACACCTGAAAGGCTATCTCTACCTACCTGAGCTTGACCCTGGGTTCTCAGACTACACCTAGTGACCCAGAATACCTACCTGTACTCGATCCTGGCTCTTCAGACCATACCTGGCAGGCCGCTCTCCCTACCTGAGCCTGACCCTGGCTCCTCAGACCATAGCTGGTGGGCCAGCTTTGCCTACCTGTGCTTACCCTGGCTCCTCAAACCACACCCAGTGGGCCAGCTCTACCTACCTGAACTTGACCTTGGCTCCTTAAACCACACCCAAAAGACTATCTCTACCTACCTGTGTTTGACTCTGGCTCTTTGGAGTATACCTGGCATGCCAGATCTACCTACCTGAGCCTGATGTTGGCTCTTCAGATCATATCTGGTAGGCAAGATCTGCCTACCTGTGCTCGATGCTAGCTCCTCGGCTTGTACCTGGTGGACCAGCACCCCCTACCTACATGTGGTGAGGGTTCCTGAGCTTGTTCCTTGTAGGCCAGCTCTGCCTACCTCTACTTCACACCTCAGCTGCTCATATCTCATCCAATACACTTGGTTCTTCTTACCTGGGCTTGACTATGACTTTTTAGGTCTCATGAACACACCCAGCTTTGTGAAGCTGCCCTGATTCTGGCTCCAAAGACCTTACCTGCCAAACCCTGCTCTACACACCTGTGTTTAATTCCTGTTCTTCAGACCTGATGGACCCGAAGAGATGTACCTGGACCTGGCTCCAAAAACCTCACCCAAGAAACTCAATTCTACATACCCACTTACCTGTGGCTGGCCACAGCTCCTCAGCCTCACCCAGGAGATGAACTTCTACCAACCCACCTTTTTTCTTTTTTTTTTTTTTTTTTTTTGAGATAGAGTCTCACTGTCATCCAGGCTGGAGTGCAGTAGCATGATCTTGGCTCACTCTGCCTCCCCAGTTCAAGCAATTCTGGTGCCTCAGCCTCCCAAGTAGCTAGGACTGTAGGCATGCACCACCATGCCTGGCTAATTTTTGTATTTTTAGTAGAAATGGATTTCGCTATGCTGGCCAGGCTGGTCTCGAGCTCTTGACTTCAAGTGATCTGCCTGCCTTGGCCTCCCAAAGTGCTGGGATTACAGGCATGAGCCACTGCGCCTGGCCTTCCCACCTGTCTTGACACCACCTGGGAAATCCAGACGTGCTCACTGTGCCAGATCCCGGCGCCTCAGACCCTCCTGAGACCTGGCTCTATCCACTGCCTTCACTTCATACCCTCAGAGGTTGTCTACCACATCCAGGTCTTTCTAGATGAGCCTAACCCTGACTCCTTGGGCCTCACCTGATAGATTGTTCTCTCCACCTGTGCCTGACCTCAACTGCAGGACAGTTTAATTAGCTTGACTATGGCTGTTCTGGTCTGCGTGCTCTGGTCTGCGTGCCCCTGGTTTCACAGATGTCACCCGACAAACTCTACCCATCATGCTTCTCAGACCTGGGATACAAACCAGGGCCTGACCTCAGTGGCTCAGACCTTACCTGTGAGACCCAAAAATCCATACCCATGTCTCACCTTAACCCCTGAAACCTCGCCTGCTAGAACCGCTCTACATACCTCCCCTGAAACCTCGCCTGCTAGAACCGCTCTACATACCTCCCCTGAAACCTCGCCTGCTAGAACCGCTCTACATACCTCGACCAGACCCAGGCTTCATTCACCTTTCAGACGGATGCAGTTCGTCTTCCCTTTGTCTGACTCCAGCTTTTTGGTCTCTTCCTAGGCTCACCCACCAGAGCTGCTCAGACATGGTCCGAGGACACAGCTCCAACCTGGACCCAATCATGGATCTTCAGCCTCACTTGTCAGACCCAGCTCAACCTGTCTGCCTATCTTTAGCTCCAACGTCCTTACCGGACTGGTCCAGTTCTGCCTACCTGAGTAGAGTCTTGGCTCCTCAGGCCTCCCCTGGAAACCCAGCCATACAAACCTGTCTGATTCTAGCTCCTGGGACCTCAGACAGACGCCGCTCTGAAAGGCTGCACTATACACACCTAACCTGAACAGTCACTTTCCTCACACATGACAGATCACTGGCTGCTGACCTCGGCCTGAGGGAGCCTGGTGAGAGCCCAGTGTTGACAAACACCGTCTGACTGGCCTAGTCTTGACGTCTGCCCTGCAGACCCAGGTCTCCGGACCTTTACTCACCCTGAGCCACTCAGACCGCACCTACCCAGCACAGCTCCGCATGCAACCCGCCGGCCTCACCTGCCGCAGCTCCCCTGTCCTTGCCTCACATCACCAGGTACATTCCTACCTCTCCCGCATCTGGGCTCTGCAGACCCTGACGCCACAGACTTGGACTTCAGTCACGAATTCTCAGAGGCCTCTGATGCCCTGAGCTCTGCCCATCTCACCCAGTCAGGATGCTGAGAAGCAGCTGCTGACCTGTGTGTCCCTAATCCTGGGTTCTAAACACCCCACTCGAGCAATCAGCCACCCACTACCTGATCCTCACTTTTCAGAACCGGCCAGAGATCCCAGCGTGCACACCCGTCCCATGCCACAGGTCTACACCACCTCCCACAGAGCCTGGCTGATATACGCACATACATAGCTTTGGCTCCTCAGACTTCACCTGACAGAACCATCTCTAAATACCTGCCGCTCCTCCAGAATTCACAGACCCATGGGTCCCTCTCCCTGCCCTGGCTCCTCCTCAGAACTCACCTGGATCTGCTCTGGCTCCGCTTCGGGCCTCCCCAGCCAAAACTGGCCCTGTGGCGTGTGCTGACTCTGGCTGAGCCCTGGGAGACTCTGCGACTTCCCACCACCCCTCTGCCTGATCCTGACACCCAAGGCTGCCCCACAACTGGCCCTGGCGGACCAAGAATTTCCACTACCAGACGAGACTCTTCTGATCTCACCTGAGAGCCGGGACTGCATCCCTAGCCCTGAGCTGATGGCTGTAGCTCACCCGAGACCCTCCCTCCAGGAACTTCACCTGCTCCTATCCCTGGGTTCTTCAGATATCACCTTCTGGATTCAGCAGGACACACTCTAGTAACTCAGGCAGATCCCTCCTCCATCCCCTGTGGTCTGTCTAGCCTGGCCCAGGAAGCCTCCGCTTAGGTCCCACCAGCCAGCCCTGGCCCCATGTTTCTGTGCCTAAATATCATTCCTAGGCCTTACCTGGGAGACCAGACCCATCCTCTCCTTAAGCCACACCCTAACTCATCTCTACATGCTGGGTGGTGACGAGCAAGGACACCCCCGATCTGCTCGGCTCCTTGGCTGGCAGCAGCACCCACACATCCCTGCCCACCACCTGCTCAGGCTCCAGATCCCAAGGAGGAGGTGGAAGGCGGCTGCCCTCCATTATCAGGCATGCAACATTTATTAGAAGCCGCACAGTCTCTCTTGACCGGGGTTCCGCATCTGAGCCACAGGATGCAGAAAATGACTTGAGTGACTCTTGTCAATTCTTCCAAGGATGGTATGTAACTAGTCTCATTCTAGAAAGAAGTTAACTCATTATACACAGTGGATGGCTTAACGCATTAGGGCTTCATTCTCTCCCAGACCCCGGTAGCCAAAGGCCCCTAGAGCTTTCAAAGGAACAAGATTATGTCTGTGGATGCCATCACCAAGCAAAGGGCCTCCGGTCCAAATGCCTGGAAACAGCCCCAGGTGGGAAAACCACCACATGGGCAATGCCCTCTCTACTGCGCCTGCCACAGTGTTAGACCCTGCACCTAAGCCTGGCCATGCCCACAGCATTCACAGCGCCCGCACCACACCCTGCACCGCACCCCTGCACCCTAGGCTTCACAGCCAGAGCCCTCCTCACACCACTGCTGAGCTCAGGCAAGTGCACAAGGAAAGCTGCAGCTCACTGTTCGGCTCCAGCAGAGGCGGTCCCATGGACCACCTGTTGCTACAGAGGGGTCTGCAGCCCTGTCACTCAAGGCAGGGTTTGCTCTGCAAGCAGCCCCAGCCTGGCGCCTCCTCTACGCCAACCCCCAGCTCCTCCTGCAGCTCCTGTTGCTCCTTTCCAGGCCTACCCGGTCATACCCCATGCCTCACCCTGCCCCTTGGCCTTTACAGATGGTGGCTGCAGTTCAGAGAAAGGTCATCACTGAGAATAACTCACAACCTCAACTCAGTGAGGGGGGCAAGGGGGACTCGGGTTACCCCACAGTGGGTGTTGCAGGCAGGCACCCAAGGGAGTGTCACCTGGCAATGCAAGCTCAGCCCGCCCTCAGGTGGAAGTGGAGCCCTCATCCTGCCTGGGTTGCTCTTGTCCTCCAAGCCTCTCTGAGGGCCTCTCTACCTTTCCCCAAGCTAGGTATGCAGCAGGTACTCAATAAACACTGACCTGACCTCATGGGCCCCTCAACGGCCATGATTTGGCAAAGGACACTTAATTCACCCAGTGCAGAAGTGCTTGTACTTACATCCCAGAACTCGAACATGTTTTGAGGGTCAATTCCAAACTCCTTCACTTTGGTCTACAAAAAAAAAAAAAAACAAAGGGAGAGAAATGAAAGGAAGCATTTGCTAGTGGGATGGAAACAGGAGCTCCAGGAGGCAGGAAGCTATGCTCTGTGAGCTGAGCCTCACCTTCCCCAGAGCCAGGGATGGGGCAGGGCTACAGCAGTCTGTGAGTCAAGGGCAGGGCCCAGGATCTGCCCACCCCAAGATGGACACCAGGTCAGTCCATGACCGGCACACCAGTGACGCTGCACCTGTAAAGCCCCCTGCTGAGGGCAGCTGTAACCCCGTGTGAGGAACTGGCCCACACACTGCTCGGCAACAGCTCTCACCCAGGCCTGTCTGGGACACCAGAGCATGACCCCTCAGGGCATCCAGGAACCGAACCTAGGACTGGGACCCGAGCATGGGCAGGTGCCACCTACCAGGCCAGGCAACCACACACAGGCTGGACAGTCACCCAGCCCTTCCCATGTGTGGGAGGGTGACTGTACCAAGAAGCTCTGAGGACCCATCAGGTGTTCTGGTCCCCAGGGCAGACAAGGCCAGCAACCCCTTACCTATTCCCCACAGGAGGAGAAGCCCTGCTGACCAGTCAGTGGGAGGCAGGCAACAGTGCTATGGTTAGCCAGCCTTATGGCGTCCTGCTGCAGCCGGGCGAGCACTGGAGGCAGAGATGTAGGGGTAATGGTGGAGGGGGTGGGAGGGAGTGATGTGGGTGTGGTCCCCAGCTCTGACACAGCACAGTGCCCACTGGCTGACTGTTGCTGTCACTCCTGGAACATCCCTTACTCTGCCATGCCCTGCTGAGCCTGCACAACCTCGGGGCCAGGCAGACTGTGAGAACTGGGGGACAGGTGACCCAGGTTCTAATCCTGGCATCACCTACTCATACAATCGCTAAGTGGGCCAGGTACAGTGGCTCATGCCTGTAATCCCAACACTTTGGGAGGCCGAGGTAGGCAGATCACTTGAGGTCAGGAATTCGAGACTAGCCTGGCCACCATGGCGAAACCCTGTCTCTACCAAAAATACAAAAATTAGCTGGATGTGATAGTGGGTGCCTGTAATCCCAGCTAGTCAGGAGGCTGAGGCATGAAAATTGCTTGAACCCAGGAAGTAAAGGTTGCAATGAGCCAAGATTGCACCACTGCATTCCAGCCTGGGTGACAGAGCGAGGCCTTGTCTCAAAAAATAGGCTGGGCACAGCAGCACACACCTGTAATCCCGGCAGTTTGGGAGGCCGAGGTGGGCGGATCACCTGAGGTCAGGAATTAGAGACCAGCCTGGCCAACATGGTAAAACCCCGTCTCCACTAAAAATATAAAAATTAGCCAGGCATGGTGGCGTGCACCTGTAATCCCAGCTACTCAGGAGGCTGAGGCATGAGAATCACTTGAACCTGGAAGGCAGAGGTTGCAGGGAGCCAAGATCTCGCCACTGCACTCCAGCCTGGGCAACAAAGTGGACTGTCTCAAAGAAAAAAAAAAAACACTACACACAAAACAACAATCACTAAGTAGGAGGCAAAGTGTGACCTCCCTTCATTGGGGCTTTATGTCCTTACGTGAAAAATGGAATGTATCCTCCACCCCTACCCAGCATGTCCCATTTGGGGAGATGCTGCGCACAGAGGCCTAGGAAGGTCATGTGTATGGAGGGTTCTGGGTATCACTCAGGCCTGGGAGATGGAAAAAGGGGTTATCATGATCCCACTGACTCCAAGCCTCTCTCCTCAAGGCTGCAGAGGTTGAATGGGTGAATGTGGAAAAGGCAAGGAAGGCTTGCAGCCCACAGGCAGCCAACCCTTCCATACCATCAGCCAAGCCAAGACCCACCAGACCTATGAACCACGTCTCTGAAAGGCCATGACCTAGACATGCTGGGCCCTCCCAGGAAGGCAGTACAGGGGACCACAGGGGCACTTACCGTGTTAGTAGACAGGGCAACAAAGTGCTTCGCCACTGCAGAAGGCTACAAAAGACAGAGCCAAGTTACCAAATCCAGCCCAGGGAGACAAGGGGTAGTCACTCCCCATCACTAGAGGAACCAAGGCCCTGCATGGGACTGAGATTCCCAGTCCCTGCTTCTGACACTGTTGAAGGAGGCCCACATCGAGGTCAAGGTCAAGAAAGCAGATGGGTCACAGGCTGCCTGCTCATCCCATCTTACAAGCATGCAGGGCTCAGGGACATCCCTCCCCTATAAAATAGGTGTGGCCAAGAGTCCCTGCTGCACCAAGGAACCTTAGAGAAAGGGCAACACAAGGGCTGTCAGCCCGCGAGAGCAAGTTCTGTCACATCTGCAAGGCTGGGTCTGGCAAAGCCAAGATGAACAATCATCTCATCTAGCAAAGGCAGGCACTGGCAAGGCCACCTTCCGCTTCCAACTTCAGGACAGACAGGGCCAGACTTGGTCACTCAGGGGCCCACCCTGCTCTTCCCAGCCCAGAGGCTGACCACGAGGGAGGCCCTATAGCCCACTCACATCCTTGGCCGCCTGGAGAAACCACTCCTTCGCCGTCTCCGCATTTGTGATGGTCTCCTGGGTGGTAAAGGTCTGCAACCGAAGAGAACAGCAGTGGGCGCCCGAGCTTAGGGGTGGGTGCAGCCTCGAGCCAGGGCTCAGGAGCAGAGGCCAAGGCAATGCCCAGTTGTCACCTGGAGCAGTATTTGCAGGTCAGTGACAGTGACGCCACATAACCTCCTGAGATTCCAACTCTTTAAAACCAGAGGAGGGAGGCTGGTAAACACACACCCCCGACCCTAAGCCTGCAGGTCAAAGGCCACAGCTTCTCCCCTGGAGGGCTGCAGTCAGCCTGAGGCTCTCTTCGGCCCAGGCTGGAAGGTGTCTCAGAATTCAGATGGAATTCTTCATATTTTATGTACATTCACGTGAGTAAATAGAGCATAAACGACAGCAAACAAAACCCCTCTATTATCAGGGCATGGCTCTGGGATCAGAAAGGAGCAAGCGTGGCTGGGCATGCTTTGGGAGCACTTTGGGAGGCCGAGGGGGGCGCATCAGCTGAGGTCAGGAGTTCAAGACCAGCATGGCCAACATGGCAAAACCCCATCTATACTAAAAAATAATAAATAAATAAATAAATAGTAAAATTAGCCAAGTGTGGTGGTGTGCTGCCTAGTCCCAGCTACTTGGGAGGATGAGAAAGGAGAATCGCTTGAAACCCAGGAGACAGAGATTGCAGTGAGCCGAGATCACGCCACTACACTCCAGCCTGGGCGACAGAGACAGACTCTGTCTCAAAACCAAAACAAAAAACAGGAGCGGGCATAAAGGACAGGTTTGTAAGGAAGTGGTGAGCAGTCCCAGACTGAGCAGAGATGCCGCAAGGTGAGTGGGTGTGGTCAAGACACAAACGTTCAAACTGATGTGTTCAGGCTTTCATCAGTCAACCTTGTTTGCTGCCAGGCACGGAAACAGTCTAGGGCAGCTGTACTGACCTGATCCACAAACCATGGTTCACTCGGAACCCACCGAGAAGGACCAATGGCCAGGGGGACGGCAAAACAGCCGTCCCTCCCTGCCCCAACACACACACGCCCAGGGGCCGGGCAGTTTTCGGCGCTCCTACCTTGGAGGCGATGATGAACAGGGAGGACTCGGGGTTCAGCTGCGTCAGGGTTTTGGCAATGTGAGTTCCATCAATGTTGGAGACATACCAGACGCGGGGACCTTCTGAAGAGTATGGCTTAAGGGCTTCAGTCACCATGAGGGGTCCCTGGGGGGAGACACAGCATCAAAGAGTAAGAATTCAGAGCCCACAAAAAGTAGAGACATCCCTGGAGAAAGTAAGGACCTGGGTGGGACCAACAGTGCCCAGACTCCCACCCTACCCCAAGGCAGTTTTCTCCTCACCAGGTCGGAGCCGCCAATGCCAATGTTGATGACGTCCGTGATGGTCTTGCCTGTGTACCCCTTCCAGTCACCGCTCCGGACACGCTGGCACAGGGAGGAAGATGATGTCAGCCCAAACCCCCACGCATAAGCCGCTGTTCAAAAACATGATTACTGCCATGTCCTGGTTCCTCAGTCCCAGCTTTCAGGCCTTCGCAGGTGCCTCTATTTTTTTGTTTTTAATTTACAATTTTTTTTTTTTTGAGACGGAGTCTTGCTCTGTCGCCCAGCTGGAGTGCAGTCGCGCTATCTCGGCTCACCGCAACGTCCGCCTCCTGGGTTCATGCCATTCTCCTGCCTCAGACTCCTGAGTAGCTGGGACTATACAGGTGCCCGCCACCATGATCAGCTAATTTCTTTTGTTTTAGTAGAGATGGGGTTTCACTGTGTTAGCAGGATGGTCTCGTACTCCTGACCTCGTGATCCACCCGCCTCGGCCTCCCAAAGTGCTGGGATTACAGGCTTGAGCAACCGTGCCCGGCTTATTTACTTTTAATTTTTTTTTTTTTTGAGATAGAGACTCCACTTTCTGGGTTCTAACAATACTCATGCCTCAGTCTCCTGAGTAGCTGGGACTACAGGCCTGTGCCACCACCATGCCTAGCTAATTTTTTTGTATTTTTAGTAGGGACGGGGTTTCACCATGTTGGCCAGGCTGGTCTCGAATTACTGGCCTCAAGCGATCTGCCCAGCTTGGCCTCCCAAAGTGCTGGAATTACAGGTGTGACCCACCGCATCTCGCTATTTATTTATTTTTAAAACTGTGCCTTAGGGGCCAGGAAGGGTGGCTCAAGGCTGAGACAGGAGAATTGCTCGAGCCCAGGAAGGTGAGGCCACAGCAAGCTAAGATTGCCAACACTGTACTTCAGCCTAGGTGACAGAGGAAGACCCTGACTCCAAAAACAGAACAAAATGCTCTGCCTTAGCCATTTTTTTTTCCCTAAGACAGAGTCTTACTCTGTCGCCCAGGCTGGAGTGCAACAGCACAATCTCAGCTCACTGCAGCCTCCACCTCCAGGCTCCAGGGTTCAAGCGATTC